TTTCTTTAATTTGGTGATGCATTTTCACCGCTTCGTTCTCTTTAAATTTAGTATGATGAATCACGTTACCAGTCGAACTAATGTTTCGATTTTGCCTACTCGATGAAGCAATAGCTAGAGGTTGTACATTTGGTTTTCTACCAAAAATTTTATGAAACTTCTCAAAAAAATCAAGAGAGAGAGGTACTTTTCATATTATCACACTTCATTATATACTTTCTTTTTAAATTTATTCATACACTGTGTACCACTAAAATTGATTTTAGCTGATGTCAACTGATCAGACACAATTGTCCATGCTGTATCCTTTCTGACTGTGGTGGATTTAAACTTGTCTTCATTTTTTTTTGGATTAGTTAATAAGCATTAACGTGGCATTATAACTCCACCGACCATTTCCGAGCTCAACTTTATCTTTATCTGGCTCTTTTGTGGTATCTTTATCATCTATTTTTCTGGTAGCAGCCATTAAAATTGTTTAACTAAAATGTTTTTGTTATTACTTAAGTAAATTTTTTACAAAACAACGGCTATTTTATTAATTAAAATATTAAAAGCTCACACGGCCTTTCCTGATAAGTAATTCGTTCTCGAATTACCAATTTTATTAAACCAATAACATTACCTGGAATTTCAAACCAACAAAGAACATAAGGACGCTTTTAACTTTATATATAAAAAAATAAAACGTAAGGTTTTTTTGTAAACAGACAAATGCAAAGCCAATCTTTCAACATATTTTAAACCTATGGCAAAGCGCATAGCTTTGAACCCAACAACTGCAAAGCGCCTAGCTTCGATCCCAACAAATGCAAAGCGCAAGGCTTTCAACATATTTCAAACATATGGCAAAGCGCGTAGCTTTCAACCCAACAAATTCAAAGCGCAGGGCTTTTAACATATTTCAAACATATGGCAAAGCGCGTAGCTTTCAACCCAACAAATGCAAAGCGCAGGGCTTTCAACATATTTTAAACATATGACAAAGCGTGTAGCTTTCAACCGAAGTTTTTTTTATATTTACTTTTCATTTTACTGTTCATACTTAAAGCTCACACGGCTTATTTATCGTAAACAACTTACACTAAATTTCGAAATCATCAAATTCGCCTGGCCAAATCCTAAGCATTTCAACTGGAACTACCCTATTGCGGTTGGTTGCAAGATTTTTTAGTTCCACTCGATCATTAGGCAAAAGTTGTAAAACTTCGAACGACCCTTTATAGATTTTTATCCAACTTGGATAGATGAGAGTGACCAGATGGATGATAAACAAAATCTCCAATCTATATTTCCTTGTTCGGTCGTCTCTTTTTGTCAAATAGATTCTTTGCGTAATCCGCCTGTTTGCGCATTCGCTCGTATGCCAGTTTTTGGTATTTTTCCAAATAAGTATCATTTTTTACAACCTGATAAATTGGCCTGCTGAAGTTTCAGTATCTTGCTATAGTTTTTACGGGTTCCGAAAAAAGTAGTAACATTCCGATAAAAAACATTAAAAAAAAACTCTTTATTATGTGTGTCTACAGGCCACCACTTGGGGATTTAAGAGTTTTCTTAACTCAAATGGATACAGCCCTAAATATCCTAAATCAATCAAATAAAACATCATAGTTGCTGGAGATTTTAATGTAAATTCAAAATTCAAATTAAAAAAAAATACAAATGATTATAAAGATGTACTAGATCTCTTAAACACTTTATGGAACCTTCAAGAAAAGCAATGAGCACAAACACATGTATAGACAATATATACAAAAAAATAAACAACTACCAAGATGAAACAAAAAATCCTCATTTATCCGATAATCTTGCACAAATCATAACTATAAATATGTTCAAAATATTTCAGATGCATATACCCACCGTTTTGTTGAGCATAAACAAAATAAATTCTGGGACCTTCCGTTAGTGCCAGGGCCGGATTTAGCACGGGGCCAGCGGGGCCACGGCCCCAAGGCCCCCACCATTTAGGGGCCCCCACCAATGTAATATGTAGCTTTATAATGAAACAAATATGAAAAACAAAAAATTGGGTCGGTTATACCGCGCGAATCCTGTAATTTTCAATTAATTTTTCGTAGATCTAACTCTAATTTTTCGGGGATTTTGTATCGCTTATCCGCTTGCAAATCAGAATGTTACACACTCAAAGTTTTGGCGCGCGAAGCCGTTTTTATAAACTCTATAGTTTTTATAAAGTCTATAGTTTTTATGAAGTCTATAGACGTTTTTATAAAGTATATAGTCATAACTTATAAGTTATGACACATAACAATTTTAAGCAGTTGCTTGTCGTAACGTTTTTGTAAATACAAGAAACTAGTGAATTACTTATAATCTATTATTAAGGTAAGTTTTTGTCCCAGATTTTTATTGATACATTGGAGTGTTGTGGAATATTTTCCGGTGTTTCCGAAATACTGTTTCGTGCTTTATTTGGACAAAAGATTGTTATTGTTTGATTTTGTATTAAAAACAGACAAATAATACGACTTTTGATGTACTTTTTTTCAGTTTGCTGTAAGTATTAAAAATACAAACAAAACATAGATTAATTTATATTTTACTTGAGTAAAATGCATATTAGGTTATGTTCGTATTATTTAAAATATATAAAAGTATATAAAAACACTTTCATTCACAATTCTATTCTATTATCTACGTTTTTATAGTTTTGCATACGAATTTATTATTTCTCAGACTTATGTAGAAAATATATTTAATGTTATGTTCGTATTATTCAAAATATATAGGGTGATTCAGACAAAAGCTCAGGGGAAATTCCTCTCATCAAAATATGAAAAAAGCTCCTATAAACACGTGCCCAAGAATTCTTCATTTCTGAGATACAGGGTGTTTCGTTAAAAAAAATGAGTTTTATATTTATAGCTTAAAAACGCTTTGGCCGATTTTATTAAAATTTATATGGCCTATTAAATAATAAATGATTCAAAGATAAAGAAGGTTGGTATCTTGAATCACCCTGTATAAAGTTTATAAAAACACTTTCATTCACAATTCTATTCTACTATCTACGTTTTTATAGTTCCCTGCTAAAAATATCCCAGGTGGGAATCCTAGGTGGGATTCTCATGTGGAATTTGGGCTGGGAATCCCAGGTGGGATCATCCCAAATTCACAAAAAGGCAAATATTTTGTTTAGGCACCTAAATAGAATTTTTACCTTTTTGGACTTTTTTTGGTAAATTTAACATGGGAATACCACCTGTGAATGACCCCACCTGGGATTCCCAGCCCAAATCCCACATGGGAATCCCACCTAGGATTCCCACCTGGGATATTTTCAGCAGGGTTTCCATAACCATGGTGTTTTCAATAATTTTTAGTGTTTGGAAAATCATAATGTCTGCTAGAAACAAAGACAGACACAAAAATGTTCGGAATTTCCCAAGTGGAGCAGCAAAAAGAAAAGCTTCTACAGAAAAAGCTGAAAAATTGGATCAGATGCTCTCAAAAACTCCCAAATTAAGCAGTTTTTTCCGAGTTATCGAAGAACCTAAAACTGAAAACCATAAAATGCCGTCAACTTCTTTATCTCTAGCTTCTCTTCTCGAATCTGAAGAGCAAGACGAACCGGTGAAAGACTGTCAGGTCATCGAAGGACCAATATCCAGCCAATCCGAATATGCAAAATGATATCGGTCTTTGGACAGTGCCTTTCACCGACAATGTAATTGATTACTGGATCAAACAAGGTCCATCCGACTTACAACACTGTGACGAAGAACTGTTATCTAAGGTGTCAGTGACGCAAACCCGGCAAGATATTATCGAGGGCTCCAGAAAATGTACAAAAGGTCTATTTTATCGAACGCATCAAAACAAAGAAGTATTTCATCGAACTTGGTTGTGTTTTTCTCCAAACACTGAAAAAATATACTGCTTCTTGTGTAAGCTCATGATGAATACCAATAGTTATTTTGCTGGAGAAGGTTTTTGTGATTGGAAACATGCCTCCGAACGTCTAGCGCAACACGAAACTTCAAAGAGTCACCTGAATTCCCTCGTGAATTTTTCATCTCGTTCTAATGAACTAGCTTGTATCAATTTGGCTTTTAAAAGACAGGCAAGTGTAGTCTTGTCATAAAAAAAATTTCAATACAGTGCGCTCTTTTAATAGTTCCACTTTTTCACTCCAATATATCTTGAGTGCAGCCAGAGAGAGAGAGGACCGCGGAACTATTAAAAGAGCTCACTGTACCTCACAATGATTTTTACATGATTTTGAGTTACAGGTACAATAAGAGGCTAAATATTGGCGAGAAATTCTTAAACGAGTAGTAAGTACGATAAAATTTCTCGCTGAGCGTGGGTTGTCCTTTCGTGGTGATGATGAAATCTTTGGTTCACCTACTAATGGAAATTTTCTTGGTATTCTCGAAGTAATTTCGCAGTTTGATCCCTTTCTCGCTGGTCACATAAAAGAACATGGTAATAAGGGTAGTGGCCACGTAAATTATTTGTCGTCGACAATAGTCAAAGAGTTAATTGATCTTATGGCAGAGAAATTACTGGCTGAGATAACAAATCGCATAAAGAAAGCAAAATATTTTTCTGTTTCTGTTGATTCTACACCCGATGTGAGTCATATTGATCAATTAACTGTGATTTTAAGGTATATGGAAAGTTGCAATCCAGTTAAACGTTTTTTGACTTTCATCCCTAATTGTGGTCACAAAGGCTCAGAGATGGCAAAAGCTTTTCTTGATTTTTTAGAACAACAAGGGATTGATATTCAGAATTGTCGCAATCAATCCTATGATAATGCGCGAAATATGAGTGGCAAGTATAAAGGAATGCAGGCTATAATATCAGAAAAAAACAGTTATGCAATATTTATTCCTTGTTGCGGTCACTCATTGAATTTGGTAGGACAATCAGCCGCTAGTGCATGTTCTACTGCAGTTCTTTTCTTCAATTTCGTAGAAGAACTTGTTGTCTTTTTCACTGCCTCAACAGCGCGATATTAAATAATTATGAAACATCTTTCGGCCGAGAATACGAAGAAAGTTTTCTATACGCTTAAAAATTTAAGTGATACTCGTTGGTCATGTCGCGCAGATGCTGTTAAAGCTCTTGTTCACGGATACAAATCGATTCTCAATGCATTAACCGAAATTTGTAATGATGCTGGACAAAAAGACATCGTGAAATGTCAAGCTCGCAGCCTTTATCAAAATATGTCTCGATTAGAAACATCAATTTATACTCAATTTTGGCATGAAATACTCGAAGGATTTGGTTCTACAATCCGTTATTTACAAAATTCCACCATGATTTTGAGTACAGCTTTGAATCTGCTCAAATCTTTGACTTCGTTTGTTGAATCTAAAAGAGACGCATTTGATTCATATGAAACTGCAGGAAAAGAATTATCTGATGTACAAGAATATCAGAATTCACGTGTTCGATCACTTAATGTACCACTGAAACCAATCGATTATGGAAAAGCGTCTGCGGTACAATTATCACCGAAAGAAAAATTTCGTACAGAATCTTTCCTCCCTGTTATCGATCGACTTATTGTATCTTTAAGGGAACGAATGTCTGCATACCAAGTTGCTAATGAACGATTTGGTTTTTTTGCTGAGATTAGCACAATGAAGAATTCTGAGTTGACACTTGCAGCCAAGAAACTTGTCCATTTTTTATCCTCAAGATTTGGAAGTTGATTTGGCCAACGAATTGGTGCATCTTGTAACTTTTTCAAAACAATATGAGAAGAAAGAAGGTGAATAGAACATTTTTATATCGTATAATTTTACAAAATAACGTGCAGTCCATATTTTGCAATGCGGAAATAGCTCTTCGTATGTATTTAACTATGATGGTGAGGAACTGCAGTGGGGAAAGATCTTTTTCGAAACTGAAGATCATCAAAAACAGATTGCGAACGAGTATGAAACAAAATCGATTAAACAATCTTATGCTTCTCAGTCTGGAGAGTGATATTCTTCGCGATATGAGTTTTGATGATGTCATAAATACTTTCGCTAATAAATAATAAGTCTTAGCTTAAATTATAAGTTTATTCTGTTTGCTTTAAGTATGTTCTGTTTTTTTGTAGTAAAAGCTTATTTAGATGTGAATAAAATACAGCATTTACTACAATTTTTAAGTAATAACTTTGAATTTTTCAAGCCTGCTAATATGCAGCTTAAAAATTAGTCGTGTAGAACTTCAATCGAACACGTTTAAAAATGGCTCAATTTATGAACATGAGACGTCTTAAATATTATGCTCAACGAACTGAGTGTCGAGATGAGGACGATCATAATTAATATCGATTTTCTAGAACTAATGTTGAGTGGTTAGCAGAACATTTCCTTGAAGACACTGGAGAAACAAGGGGAGGAGCATTAAATTCCAGACAAAAAATGCAGATATTTTTCGATTTTTAAGCGATCCTGGATTTTAAATTGGAGTTGGAAATAATGAAGGCGTTCATCGAACAACAGTGAGTAAAACTGTGAAATTTGTTTTGACTAAAATAATTCAAAAATCACATATTTGGTTACGTTTTCCTTTAAATAACATTGATGAAGCACAACAAAAATGGAGTGCTAAGTATCAGTTTCCTTGTGCATTTGGGGCTATAGATTGTACACATATAAGAATTCCGAAACCATATGAGCATGGAGACGAATACTATAACAGAAAATGTTACTTTAGCATAAATGTACAGGCAACATGTAATGCAAAAGAAGAATTCACTTCCATAGACGCTCAGTGGATTGGGTCAGTACACGACAGTAGAATACTAAAGAATTCTTAAATTTATGTCCAAATGATTAATATGCGACCTAATAATATGGTGTTATTAGGTGATTCTGGTTGGCTGATGACGCCATACAGAAATCCCGAAACTCGTGAAGAAATTGCGTTTAACACACTCTTCACGAAAGAGTCATCATCGAAATGTGCTTTGGCCAACTGAAGAGAAGGTTTCCAATTTTGCAATATATGGTTAGGGTAAAACTAGACAGAGTTGCATCTGTTATTATTAGTTCTGCTGTACTTCATAATATATCAAAGTATTTAAATGATCCACTTCCTGTCAATGAAGAAGAAGATGTTATGAATGACGAACAAGAAGAGAAATACAATTTAGGAAATGAAGATAAAAATGTTAGGAGAAGACGGAGAGAAGACGGAGAGAAGAAATCAAAAATTTAATTTACCAACTAAATATTTAATTATATAAATTGTTATAATTGAGCCATTCCACGCGTAACGGATAGGACAGTTGCCGTGTTTTTATTTACAAAATAATATTGTTCTATTATATTACTAATGTCAAATTTTTATAAATAGTTCTAAACTAAAGCTGTTTAACAAGGTTTTTATTTGGCAAAATTAGGTATCGTGGTTGACTGTTTAATTCCTTAAAAACTAATAATTTAAAGCGCAACGGACGGGACTTTGTAATGGTCCCGTCTTTCAAAATAATTTTTTTATTTCCAGTTGCTTTCATATCTGTTTCCTTCTTTAATTCGTTTTTCATATTTTGACTCTTTTTTACTTGTTTTACACTAATACTTTTGCCATAAATTGTTTGGTATAATTTCTGCATTTTAATTAAAGAATTTTCCTTCTTTTTTCTTATTAATGGCAACTGCGATTTATCAAAAAATACTTTAGATAAAGCGCAAATTGCCACTTTGTTCTTCACCGACTTCGAAGTAAGGAGATTCACTGTCGTCGGAATTCATTTTTAACTCACAAACGTGTCTGCTAATGGTTGTAAACGAAATAACCTGAAAAATCTGTTGACAAAAATATTGTTCTTCACCGACTTCGGAGTAAGGAGATTCACTGTCGTCGGAATTCATTTTTAACTCACAAACGTGTCTGCTAATGGTTGTAAACGAAATAACCTGAAAAATTTGTTGACAAAAATATTGAATACGTCCGCTTTTTACAAAGTTTTTTTTGGAATAACAAATAATTTATTCACTAAATATGTTAAAAAAAAGAAAAAAAATTATTAAGAAAACCAGGAAGTTTAATGTTGTTAGTTTAAACTTAAATTTTTTGGTATACACTTATAAGCATAGACCGGATTTTAGGCCCTTAAAAATTGGAAATTAGGACACATAAATAGGCAATAAAAACCGTTTTAGGCCGAAAGTATCTAAAATAGGCCTCAACCGCCTAAAATAGGCGATATGAAATAAAAACAACACGATTAAACATAACATTTATTCAGGTCCTATCAATAAAAATAAAACAAAAAATACATAATAAAAATAATAACACAAACTCTTGCCCGTATGAATAAAGAAAAGGAAAACCTTCCTTTTAAAATTTAATGAAAATCTTTTGCCAATATATATATGAGTAATTCCATTACATTTCGAATGATTTCTCGGGAGGGGTCAATCGATTTTGTTCAAACTTGGGAATCTTGGAGTACATCATAAAATATCCCCACAAACCAAATTTCAACCCTCTAAGTGCCATAGGTCACAAGAAATGACTATTTAAAGGACAAAAATTCACTATTTTTAGCCTATTTTTGAAAATTTGACTATCAATAACTTTAAGCCGGAATGGATTTATTTGTATCAGGTTTTGTTTATTATATCTTTTAGTATGTATAAAAAAATATTTTAGACCTCTAGACCATTTGACCCTTATTTGGGACGTAGTTAAAAAAAATAAAAATTTCAGTAAAATGACCATTTTTAAATGGCCGCCAAAAATTGAATTTTTAACTAATCTGCTCTCGCTATAGCTCATTTTGTTCGTTGATGTATGCTCTTCAAGCGAGTAACTCAAAAAAATTTATTTCCCTGCAAGGAACGCTAATATTGCTTTTCAAAGTTAGTGTTTTTAAAAAATTGCAAACTTTGACCCTCCAGTACAGTATCAACTCCGAATCGCACAAAAATTTAGGAGGACCTAGTGTTCTATGTCTAGAATAAGCAGTCGAAGGGATTTTCTTGGCCCGAACTTCTATGATTGTTTATAATTAGTTAAACATAAGTAAAATCGACAGAAATTTGGATAGTTAAATTCAATAATAAAATTGCTTTTTTCGTCTCTTATTGTTTATTATACCTTCATCCAATTGGCCAAATAATACAATAATAAAATTATATAAACACAGCGGGAATTCTAAAAAAAGCCGTTTCAAAATAATGTTAATTTTGTAGTACGTACATTTAAGTTTGATTTTTTATTAAAGTTAAAGTTTATTTTTTTTCCATCAAAAAAGTTTTCGTTTTGTGGTTATATAAGCTTAAGTTTACTTACTATGCATTCCTATACACAAAGTTAGAAATATTAATTACCTTATTATGTAATTTACATCAAGATAACAATACATTATTGGACTACTTTATCTTTGAGTATAATTTCAAACTTATTTTTATTTGGAAGTAGGTTTACCTTCTTTGAAGAAGTATCAAATGAGGTAATTTTAGCTTGGAATGAATTTTCTTTAACTGGTATATAACAGTGGTATTGTCTGGTATTTTCAAGAAATTTCACAACTGAAAATCGGCGTTTTAATTTCTTTCATGCTTTTTTACATCTGTATGTGGCACCCACAAAACTCTGAAAATTATTATTATCAATTAATTATTACTGTCAGTATCAGAACGTATTATTTTGGATTACATATTCGAAAACGATCTTCAAGAATGAAAAAAAATAACAATACTTTCGCAGTTTTGTACGACGTATTCATACATTTGTAAAGGACTTGTAATTTGTTTTTCTGGTGGAGCTCGTAGACAATATCGCATAACTAATCTTTTAATAATCCCACCAATTGCATCACAAAGCGATTTCCCGTGACTTGTCGCAAAAAAATTGTATGAAGTTACTTTAATGTTGAAGTCTTCTTCATGACAATATATATTTGCTAAGTGATTTCTAGAACAAAGTACGCAATTAAAATGATACATAATAGTATAGAGTAATAGTGTTAAAATATTAGCACCTATAATATGCAATATTCTTCGATTTTAAATAAACAGATTTTATGAATTGTTTTGATTTTTTTCCTTGAAAAATTTCTCGCAAAACTTTTTCGAATACGCTACACATTTCGAGCACGCTTCCTCGAATATAAACTCAGACCCGTACTACACTCAAATTAACTGCAGCGTTTTTTTTTAATAAAATAAACGTAAACGTTAAATATATTATCGGTTGGGCCCTTTTGGCAAAAGGGGGGTCCATTGAAAATATCCATATTGAATGATATATGAACTAAAATTACAAAATTATAATATTATAAATCGATGTTCAAATAATAATTGTGTTAATACAGCACCAAATATGTTTTTTTTAGGCCCGGTAGAATATCCTTACTGAATTAAATTAAATATTATAATTATAATATTATATGATCATAATCAGAGTCGGATATTCACTTTGTTCTGGATATTAGTGTACGAATATTAGTAATTTGGACATTTTTGGATAATTGACTGGCATTTTTTTCCTATTACCCTTTGAATAAAATGCAAATGTCAATTTTTTATTTTTTTTTCGAAAAAACGGTTTTTTTCCGCCGGTTCAATTTTTCAGGAAATTTTAAAACCCCAGTTAGATAGCATCCTCAAATTGACCTTTCGACGATTTATTAGAAAATGCATCATCATAGATCAATGTGGAGTACTAAAAAATTAAAATTATTTTGAAAAGACGTTTTTTTGAGTATTGACGTGTCCATAATATTTTAATATTGTAGTATTCGGATGAAAGCATAATAAACAATGAGACGAAAAAGCAGTTTTATTATTAAATTTAACTATTAAAATTTCGGTCGATTTTCTTATGTTTAATTAATTATAAATAATCATAGAAGTTCGGGCCAAGAAAATCCCTTCGATTGCTTATTCTAGACATAGAACACTAGGTCCTCCTAAATTTTTGTGCGATTCGGAGTTGATAGAAATCTGTACTGGAGGGTCAAAGTTTGCAATTTTTTTAAACACACCAACTTTGAAAAGCAATATTAGCGATCCTTGCAGGCAAATAAAGTTTTTTGAGTTACTCGCTTGAAGAGCATACATCAACGAAAAAAATGAACTATAGCGAGAGCAGATCAGTTAAAAATTGAATTTTTGGCGGCCATTTAAAAATGGTCATTTTATTGAAATTTTTATTTTTTTTAACTACGTCCCAAATAAAGGTCAAATGGTCTAGAGGTCTAAAATATTTTTTTATACATACTAAAAGATATAATAAACAAAACCTAATACAAATAATTTAATTCCGGCTTAAAGTTATTGAGAGTCAAATTTTCAAAAATAACCTAAAAATAGTGAATTTTAGTCCTTTAAATAGTCATTTTTCGTGACCTATGACACTTAGAGGGTTGAATTTTGGTTTGTGGGGATCTTTTATGATGTACTCCAAGATTCTCAAGTTTGAACAAAATCGATTGACCTCTTATTCGAAATGTAATGGAATTACTCATATATATATATTAGGGTGTCCCTTATTTTTATTTTTTTTACGCATACCCTCTAATTATGTTTATTACTTGTTTATATACTCCCAGTAAAAATTTCAGCTCATTCTATAAACGGGAACCCGTGCCGACTTGCAACTAAACTCTCCGTTAGCCAACGTTAGGCGCGCGCGGTATTTTGTAAGATATCTTTATGACTGTATTTTTCTAATGATTTTATTAAATATGATTACTAATTAATATTATTGCTTTTGTTTCTATCATTTGTTTCACTAATTTAGTTGATTTTATCCCTTAAATATATTAATATACTAATTAGTATTGCTAAAATATACTGTTATATGAAATTTCAGCTTTTTATAAGCATTTCTTTTCTTGATGTCCTCCCAAAAATATTTCAGACAGTTCAATAAGTTTTCGGTAGTCATCTCTCACAATAGACTCTTTTAGTTATTTAGAGTAAAACCCATTAAGTTTATCAATTTCAGAGTTTACGGCCTATTCACCAGACCCTTCCGGATAACTAGCCACTCCCTGTGAAAATATACATTTTTATCAAAGTATACACATAAATAAAATTATATTTTAACATTTGTAAATAATTTATAATATAATGGTCACATAATAATAAACACAAAATGACTTACGATCGAAGACCTCGTGACCAACCGTGTTACAAAATACCGCGCGCCTAACGTTGGCGAACGGAGGGTTCAGATGCAAGTCGGCACGGGTTCCCGTTTATAGAATGAGCTGAAATTTTTACTGGGAGTATATAAACACGTAATAAATATAATTAGAGGGTATGCGTAAAAAAAATAAAAATAAGGGACACCCTAATATATATATATATATATACAGGGTGTTTCATTGGGAAATTGGGAAACGGGCATATTTTAAGTGCAGGTAGGAACCACCGAGAGGGTTCTTAAAAACCCACATTTGATGGGTCTATCGCCCTTTATTTCAGAAATACAGGGTGATTCATGAATTTTGCTCATTTCTTTAATTGCTCATAACTTTTAAACGGCTTCGTATTTTTTTCTTAAAATTGATATACGGATTAAGGGTTGACTACCAAATAAGTAGGTATACCAAGTTGCAAAAAATTCCAGGTCCGGCTTGGCCAAAATTTAGCCTTTATTAAGGGTTGCCTACCTAATAAGTAGGTATACCAAGTTACAAAAAATTCCAGGTCCGGCTTGGCCATAATTTTCCAAATTCTGTGTACCCTCAAAAATCACCCTACATTAGAATTTTGAATTTTTTTTCTTCCTCATAAATAAGTATTAAATTAGTTACAAAAAAATGTACAACTCATCTTTCGACAGAAAAGTCAACAAAATTTTACATGTGATTTTACATCTAGATTCATATCTAATTAAATTCTTACTTTTCTATTTTACAGAAAATACGAATCCAAAAAGTACTACTTACTTTTCAAGTAATAAATAAATAAATTTTCAAACATAGTTTAATAGGAACTTCAATATTTATTAATTTTTTAAATAACAGCTAACAAAAATAACAATACAAAACAACAACTTTTAAAAAATATGCATTTTTTATTTAAAAACTAAATCAAAACAAAAAAACAATTGCTCAAAATGACCGCCGTTTTATTCGATACATTTTATTGCTCTTGGAGCAATTTGATTCACCGATTTTCGAAGAAACTCTGGATTATTTTTTAGATTTTCGAAAGCATTTTCTATTCTGTTAATAAGTTGTTCTATATCCATGATATCTACGCAATACACATGTGATTTTAAACATGATAATCCACAGGGTTGAAATCAGGCGATCGTGGAGGCCAGTTATTAGGACCACCCCTGCCTACCCAGCTAATTGCTGAAATGGGGAGGTGCCCCATCATGCTGGAAGTACATTCCAGCAACATCTACAGCCGCATCAAACAGTAGTATTGGCAAAATTTTCTGAACAAAGTCTAAATAAATATCTCCAGTTAGTCGATTTGGAAAGATATGGGGCCCAATTAATTTAGCTTCTCGTGTAGCCCTTGGGTTTTCCCCTGCCCAGACATGCATGTTCCTTAAATTGTACACTCCGTCCATCGTAAATTGCGCCTCATCCGTAAATAAACAATTTCTTAATATTCCTTGATTTCGAATAACCCATTTGCTAAAATTCATTCTTCTCTCCCCATCACCAGCCTCTAGCCTTTGAACTTGCTGTGTATGGTACAAATGAAGTCTATGTTTTTTTAGACGTCGCCAAACTGTAGCGTGGGGTACATTTAGCGCATTGCTTACTCGTCTGGTACTAATTTGCGGATTGTTTGTAACCATGTTCAGGATATTATTTTCCTGATCTAGGTGGCGCCTTTCGTTGTGCTCATTTAATTTTACAGTGGGAAATGTTCCATGTTCTTTAAGGTATCCGAAAACTCTTTGAATCCGGAGAAATTTGTTTGACAGTTTCTATGCAAAAAAAACAAATGAAGGGCAACAGTAGACAACATTTTAATTCCAGAGCCTACTGCAATTATTTATCAGCAACAATGACTATTCGCCATTCGGTGATATTTTTGCTGAACTACTAAGCAATAGGTATTATTATGTTTTTTTATTTAGTTTTTGAGTAAAAAAAAATTGATTGTTGGTATTTACCTTTTTTTTTATTTAAAAAATTAATAAATATTGAAGTTCATATTAAACTATGTTTGAAAATTTATTTATTTTTTACTTGAAAGTACGACCCTGTACTTTTTGGATTCGTATTTTCTGTAAAATAGAAAAGTAAGAATTTAATTAGATATGAACCTAGATAAATTAAAAGTAAGAAATTTTCATTCTGCAGTAGGTAAAGTTACAAAAACAGATCATCTCTACACCTCGCACTCTTTTTTTGTTCAAACTTGTTCTTGCACACGTAAAATTTTGTTGATAAACTTTTCTGTCGACAGATGAGTTGTACATTTTTTTGTAGCTAATTTAATACTTATTTATGAGGAAGAAAAAAATTCAAAATTCTAATGTACAGGGTAATTTTTGAGGGTACACAGAATTTGGAAAATTTTGGCCAAGCCGGACCTGGAATTTTTGCAACTTGGTATACCTACTTATTAGGTAGGCAACCCTTAAAGCTATGGGCAGTGAAAATAAAATTGTAGTAAGAACTTAAACTACCTTTTTTGTAGCAAAAGCTAACATTTTTGTGAATAATAGTAAGTCTTAGCTTAAACTAATAAGCTTATTCTGTTTGCTTTAAGTATTTTATGTTTTTTTGTATTAAAAGCTTATTTAGATGTGAATAAAATACAGCATTTACTACAATTTTTAAGTAATAACTTTGAATTTTTCAAGCCTGCTAATATGCAGCTTAAAAATTAGTCGTGTATAACTTCAATCGAACACGTTTAAAAATGGCTCAATTTATAAACATGAGACGTCGAAAATATTATGCTCAACGAACTGAGTGTCGGGATGAGGACTATCATAATTTATATCGATTTTCTAGAATTAATGTTGAGTGGTTAGCAGAACATTTCCTTGAAGACACTGGAGAAACAAGGTCCATCTCTAAGGGACTCCCTCTTCTTGACGCTCTCTTGTCTCGGCCCATGTGGTTATCTCCATGATTCATTTGCGATCTGGGGCTGCAGTTTCAGCGCTCTACTAACGCGTTTGACATCTATTTTGTATCCAATAACCCAAACGTCGTTAACTATCTTAGTCCAGATTCTTTTTTTTATTCCTTTATGGCTTTCTGGAGTTTTTCTTTGCTTCTTGGTAACTGACCTTAGTCGCTTGTACTGCCGCTTGGTCTATAGTGTTACTTTGGTTCGTTCTTGTTATGATTCGACTGCTCTTTACACATTGTTGACGTAGGTCCTGAATCTGTCTGGTCCACCAGTAGTTCGGTTTCCTCTTGGTGTTTTTTATAGGGAGTACCTTTTCGCATATTCGTTGAAGATGCGTAATCCATTCTACTTAAGGCAGGTTGGCGCTGCTTTGCAGAACTATATTCTCCTCTTATATTACTCTGCTTTTATGCTGATCCTTTGCTATCCATTTTCTGCATGTGGCTTCTCCCTTGCGTGGTTCAGTTTCGGTTTCTTTCAATATGGTGTACGCGATGTCCCGGTGGTCACTGAGCATCTCATTCTCGAGGACCTTCTAATACAATCCAATGGTTTTGTCAGTCAGGATACGACACCTGTCTTCCCCTTTGGAATGTGTGTGTGCTTCCTGCGTTGACTACTTAGTAGTCCCCTGCAGAAAGCATTTCGGCAAGTTGCGCACCAATTTTGTTTTCTGTTCTGAATCCCTCTTCTTTGGTAACAGCCTTGTTCGCGAAGGTTCTTATAGCACATCTACCCTAGTGTCGGTGAGCACACGTGCCTTCCTAGCTAGTTTGTTTGGCTTCGATATTATGGCTATGTCGATTGAGTTTTCGTCCGCAGTCTGGTACAGCAGTTCCCATGCTAAGCAGGACCTGTTTTGATTGGTTTGTATGATCTTAAGCTGCCTCTCCATTGCGTTTTGGGGTAGCTCCTTTGTTCTTAGCAAGCAGTATTGTTTGCACCTGGGGTTTCATAGGGGTTCTCGGTTGGGTAGTTTTGTGTGCGCCACCTGTAGTGTCATTTTTTTGTATGCTGGGCAAGCTGTTGTCAGTGTGCAGTGTCCCTCTGTCTTACACACTGGACATTTTCGTGATCTTCCCAATTTTTGCACATCAGGGACCTATCCTCACCTGTGCACATTGGTAGAATCTTGCGATGTTTACGCTCTCCCTGACCTTGCATCGCCCGATCCCGAACTGGATGCAGCCGTTTTTTATAATATCAGGAGCAAGTTTCCTGGGTACCACCACCGTTGCGGACTGAACACGCTGTGTCCCATTCTAAGGGTCCTGACATTTATTTCAAGGTTGCGCTGCCGGAAGGCCTCGTGGATTTCGCTAACTGTAACATCTGCATCTCTATTTGAAAGATGGAACTGGACCCCTTCTGCTACCTTTTCTGAAATCCAGACCTTGGCTCCTATAGTTTAGTTTTAATTATTTTGACCACTTTCTTCATTTTTGTGTCGTCTGCTTCGGTTTACAGCATTAGGTTGCTGGGTTTGGTTTTAGGGCTTTATTTATAATTAGTGAGTTTTGATCCTTTAGCACTGCTTTAGTTGCTTTTAGCAGTTCTATGTAGAAAAGGCCTTCTTTGCTGACGATTATGGCACTGTTTGTCCTCCTGCTATTTTGTCTTTTGAGGGGCTGCGCATAAGAGGGTGCTTGGTCTTTTATTACTTATTTGTTGGGGACATGGATGTTTACCTGAATATACACTGATCTAAAGGCTATTTCAATCAGCTTTCTGTACGTATTGAATTCGATTGAATCCGAAAAGGTGAAGTGCAATTTTCTTTCTTTTCATGCTCACCAGTCCCTCAGATTGTTGAGGGCGACCATCAGATTTTTGTCTTCCTCCCACTTTGCTGGTATATTGTAGATGTTTTTCCACCTTAAACTCCATTTCTTGATATCATTTGTGTTATATAGGAAACCTTGTTATCCGGTCCTTGTTGTTTTCCTCTATTCTAGTCATTTGGGGGTCATCCGATGTGCGAATTTCATCTGTTTTCGTCTGTATTTTAACATCATAAGTCATCTTTCCATTTCCTTTTTTTTTTTAATCTGCTCTATACAGGGTGTCACCTAATAAATTATCATCCTTTGGGGGAATGATAGTACACACCAAAACAAGCAAGTTTTTCCTCTATCATTTTTACTTTATATCTATCCTATATATCATTGTTTTACCTCTAAAAACAATGATATTATTTATACAAGCAAAAAATAAACAGGTATGCGCACAGTGTATTATGTAATATCAAGTAAACTTTTAAACTTACTTAAAATCGGTTAGTAGGTACTTTGTTATCATTGATTACTGAAAGTTCGGTTGCTATTGTGGTTTCTCTGGGGCTACATGAACAGTTTAGTATACACAATAGCTATTTTACTCCTGCCACCCTATATTTGATAAGCGTTTCCCTATCCACCACCTGGGGGACACGCACCGATTAAGGAAAACTCCATTTTTCTAATTACATTCCTTTTCACCGAAATATTTATATATTACCCCCGCAAGTGTTTTTGCACCGAAATAGGCAATGCTGTTTTAGTGCTGCCAACCAAAGTACTAAACCAGGTTGGCAGCACTGAAAGTCCAACATGATCGCAACGTTGCCTAATTTATTTTTACTTCTTAACCTTATATCATACTTAAATAACTATATTTATTGTCAAATTTACATTAAACAACGTGACACAACTAGGTTGCCAGGCCTTCTATATTTATTAGAAGTCTTGTATATAATGAAAATATTCTATCTTCTACGCTTTTAAAATATAGAAACAAAATCTTTTATATTTTAGCATTTTAGAATAAAAAAAATGTTGCAATGATCAGTTTATATTATTGTATTTATTGGTTTGGACTTTAAAATAGTACTGACTAAATATTACATTATATCTTATTATTATTATTTTTTATTTAAAAAAAGTAAAGTAAGTAGTAACACTATCGCTGGATAGGCTTATAGGCAAAGCCTCTAAGGTTCGGTCTTTCCGCGGGACCTAATGTTTAACGTGGAAGCTGAACCACGGTCCTCGATAAATCACCACTTTTTAACATGGTACAGTTAGACTCATCTACCGACTTTTAACAAGCACAACACCCAAGGCTTAACCCACTGCGCTATCGACGGACCCCTTTATTTTAATTTAACAAAATATATTTATTTATTTATTTATTTTTAATAACTTAGTAATATTGTTAATTTATACGTAATGCAATAAATAATTTTTTTAAATTATTTTGATTTCTGGCAATCTTGGGCACATGATACTTTTTAATTTTTTTTTCACTTAAAAATACTTCATTTAAGAAAAAATGTTTTTTGTTGTCAAATTAACTTCATGCTATTGGCACTTGAAATATTGTTATAAAATTTAGTAATTAAAGAAACATTTAATTGTCTTCCACAAACTTTATAAGTACGATAACTCGTAAAAAGCATAAAATAGTTATGGGACAATGCGAATCAAACTGGCTGGATCGTGGCTCTTGTGCAAATACGCATGTGTCGTATGCTAAAGCTACGTTTACACTTTGTAAATTAAAAATGATCGACTAACTTTTAAATGTGTTAAAAATGTATCAATTTAAAAATAAAAGTTATAGTTTGTAGTCAGGTCCGGGACGGAAATAATAACTTTTCTTAACTTAAACTTAATCTTTATTTTTCTTCGCCATTTTATTATTTCTTATCTGGTGTTGCCAACCTTAAGAACTAACTAACAAAAAATTAAACCTACATTACCGACAGTAACGAAGGTGTATACGGGTAGTGTTGCCAGAATGTATAAGTTTTCCTACACTCCTTACCTTTAGTCTGCTCGACAAAAGGTAGTAGTTGACAAGTTTTGAATAGTCAATATTATAAATATGAATACATAACAGACATTATCAATTTTCAGAACAGTCTTAAAATAAGTAAAAAATCATAACAGGTAAGTACATAATAAATCGTTACATATATAAGGTACATAATGGTCGTAAATCTCATAAGTTACTTCATAATACATAATTTCAGTCCATAATACATATTGTCAAAATCATTTATCATAAAACATAAAATCAAAAATCATTAGTCTAAATCAGGATTATTTTGTTCTTAATCGGTACACCTAGACCAAAGTTTCATTTGAACTGGCGCTGCAATACCATTATACGGAATCTGTGTCAAAACCATAAAAGTCTGACAAACCATCAAAGTCTGACAAAACATAACCATCTTTGTCTAGAATCTTTTTTATCATATATACCTTTAAACTAAGGTATCTTTTTGTTAACCGACGGAGTAGTGACAACATTTTTAATCATGACATAACTTTATTACAAATAAAAGTTTACTAGGTGATGAACCAGTTGAACTACAAACCGTGTTATTAAACGAAAACTCTACTTCTTGTAAAACATCTACCCATTTATTAGGTTCAGGACATAATTTGGCTAACATACGGTGCACACTTTCAGCTTGTTCATTGGCCCTTGGTGTTCCAGTGGCAATCTGAATTAACTCAATTATTTCTTCGCTAAGAAAATCTACAAATTTCGTCAAAGTGAAAGCCGCGCCTCTACCTGAAATTAATCGCTTCGGTTTACTGTAAAAATGGAAATAATGTTGCAAATGCTTTATAACTTCGTCAGATTTTGTTGATTAAAAAGCTTAACGAATTTCGTAAAAGCGTCTATAACTGTTAAGATGTATTCATTTAAAGTAGTAGTCAATGGCCCATAATAGTCTATGTGTAAAGTTTGAAAAGGGAGTTTTTCCTTCGGAAAACTATGTAAATAACCTTCCGACATAAAAATTCAACGCATTTTAGACAGTTCGAAATATAAGTTTTAATTGTTTGTTTTAACTGCGGAAACCAAAAAGCTTTTGTTAGAAACCCTACTACTTTTTCTAATTCTACATGCCCTTTGTCATCGTGACAAGATCGTTTAACTGTATTTTCCATCGGGACATACAATACATAAAATAATAATTCTCCATTTTTGTACTTCCGATAAACTAAACCTTTACGCAATTCATAATTAGGTTCATCAGAATTAACTAATTTATCGCGGATTCTATTAATTTCAGGGTCTACCGTTTGTGTAATAATAATAATAATAATAATAATAATAATAATAATAATAATAATAATAATAATAATATAAGTCTTTATTGAAACATTTTACATTTTCAAACGGCGAAGTTCAGCGTGATAAGTCTTGTTGAAATGTATTGGATTTAAGTATTAAAATACGGTGACACCTACTTAACGCGTCAACATGTGTCATTTTACTTCCTGAACGGTGTACTATTTTATAAGTATAGTTCTCAAAAAACAAGGCCCACCGGTTAATTCTGGGGTTGATCTGCTGTTTGGACAAGGTAAGTTTAAAGCTATTACAGTCTGTATAGATTTTGAATTTTATACCAGCTAAATAAACATGAAATCCTTTTATAGCATAAACAATAGCAAGGCACTTGAGTTCATAACTGTGATATTTGGTTCATTAACACTGGTACGTTTGCTAAAATACATA